AATCGTTCTCATTTTGATACAAAAGTTATGATGAGCAGCCACAATCATAATCATAATATTTATCTACCGTCCAATTTATACTACAAGTAGTACACGAGCACGATCACACAGGCAACCCTAGCTCAGTTGGGAGAGCGTTAGACTGAAGATCTAGAGGTTCCGAGATCGAAACTCGGGGGTTGCATCTTTTTTTAATTTTTTAGAAGGCGGCAAAGGCAAAAGTAAATTAATTAAACTTTTTCATTTACTGGTGCGAAGAGTTAAATCAACTCTGTATCACAATTTTATGTCTTTTTGTACACATGAATAATACTCTCGTGCCAAACACATACTCTTATATCTAACACAGATATTACTGCACAGCCAAACCTTAAGAACATTTACTGAAAATTAAAATTGTATTTATTTTCCAACCTAAATCTCATAATATCTCTGATCTCTGACAGTTTGCTCTCCGCAATTTCAATGTCACTTTCTTTGATACCGCCAAACGAATGCACAAATACGGGCCGATCATTCTCAAAAAGGACCATGCCCTCCGTCTGTTCGTCAAAGTTCGCTGCATACACCATTTTTCGCAGAGGTACACCGGCATCAACAAGTGCAAGCACGGCAGCGTTGAACGCACACATAAGAGCGTTTCTTACGCCGACGCCCACCCACAACTCAAGCACGAATACTCTGCGGAAATCATCTTTAACAATTTTACTGAATATTTGCTCAACCACACCCGCAAAATACGTGTTGAGCGACCGGCTAGATCCCTCGTTCCAATGCACCTCTATGTAGGGTAATGTGCTTATACATGATGGTACATCAGGTAATACGTTTACGTGGCAGTATACGGTAGTATTCATGCCTTGGAAAGACGAAGATCCCATCGCATTCTTCATAAAGCCGACTGAGCAATCAATTGACTTGTCCATTAGGGGCAAGCCAAGACGGCACAAATTTTGTAAAAAGCACTTTTTTTATCCGCGGCAAAAAGGTGATGTAAGCGCAGTACAAGGACAAGGGAATAAGTATGAGTCGATGAAATGATAATTGGGCACGTTTTACCCAAATGAAACGTAACAGAAGATATAATTAAGTTTATAAAAGAGGATGCTTCATTAACGTTGCATATAAACATATGATAGAAATAACATACTCTTTTATTACTTTCTTTAGAACATGTAATCATTCAAACACTTATTCGTATGAATATGAGATATATGCTGTGTGTAGAGACTACGTCCTCATTCATCCGTTATATTCACACAATTCTTCATTTTATAAACCATAAGTTTAAACGATGGTGATTTATTTACAGTAGAATCAAATTATACTTTTTTCTTGCACAGAATTGGCCATTTTACAGACTTTCCTACCCTATGAAAGTATATCATGCAAATTTTATTAACGTCTGACAATTCGTAATTAATGACTAAAAATAGGGATGAATCAATTTTTGTTCCATTAGCAGGCCTTAGAGAACCTGTCGACGCAAAAAAAACTCTTCAAAAATACAGTGGAATAACATGCAGGTTAAAATGCCGTTTTATTAATACTGAACAATCTACAGCTTAGGTTTAAAAAACGAAAGGAGATTGTTGTTCCTTTTTAAAATGTTATCGCCATTTGCAACAATTTCTACCTCAAAATCGGCATACACGGGACAATGATCACTTCCATACTCGTTCATCATTACATCAGCGTTCTTAACACACTTTACATACATTTTGTGAACAAGTATCAGATCAATACGTGTGCCCAGATTTACCTTCCGTAAACCAAGTAGGCTGTTCCAGCACGAATAAACTTTTTCTTTGTTCGAATACATTCTGTACGTGTCTATCAACTCACATTCATGTATCATCTTGTAGAGCCATTTTCTGCTTGGTAGCTCAAAGAAATATTCCCTCAAATATTTTTCATTTTTAAAAAAGAATGGCAATTCAGTGGGTGAGGCGATCGGATTTACGAATCGGCCCCTATCAAATGTTTCATTTTCTTCTTCATGTTCACTATCATCCCGTTGTACGACGTGTTCGGCATGGACTATGCCATCCATCTCACGGTCAATCATCATAGCTCTGTTTTGAATCCGCAAGAACTCTTGCTGGTAGATGTACGTATCCTTTAAGCTGTACACCGCGTTAAAATCACCGCAAACAATCGTGTTAGGATTATTATTCACATATTGCTCAACATAGTGGTAAAAGCGCATGGCATTATTCACTTTCTTCCTGCACACCTCATCATCAGATCTAAACTCGCTTTCACTAACAAACGGAAAGTAGCAGTTTAGAATGTCGAATGAACCGTGTCGCGTTAGCAGGAAGCGCCCTTCACCGTTATACTCCCTAAACTCCTCCATTACTTCCTGCTTACCGCAACAGAAAAAATCTTTTTTAATAAATGTTGCTACGCCATACTTGCCCGAATTCGCTCTGTTAGCCGACACAAAAACAATGTAATCCTTTAACGAGTAAAATTCGCTAAGACTGCTCTTAGATCCCCGGGATTCTTGCACACACAAAATTGTAGCTTTCAGTCTGTCTCTAACGTAGTCGTTTATATTTGTGTTCCTTTCCGAGATAAACTTTGAGTATGAGCGTAGACCGTTCACATTAAACGATACCAATCGGAATAACATGCTGTGAATAAAAAATTGACGGTTATTCAAGGATGAGAATATTTGGGAGGAGGCTATACAACAGTATTACACAGCAAACGTTACATTAACAGGCTAAATGAGAACGGTATAATGTATATCAACATAAATACTTTGTTTATATAGTGCTCATACCAATAAATATTATTCTAATTATTTCTTATATCATACAAACATTACCATTATAAAAGATTTATGACGTATGTATTCGTTGTTAGGAACATTTCTACGTATTAATATTGTTTTCATCTCAGGAATTTGTTAATTATTATGATCGATAAGTAGATTTACTTATCGATCGAGGTTATGATGTTTCTTCCCTAAAAGAGATTTTTTTAAAAAATCTGGCAATTCATTCTTCTCTTTACTAATCAGATTAACATACATGTCAAAATTACGCTAAAAATGTAATCTAAGGTTTAAAAATCTTAAGATAATCATAACTACATTTTTATATTACATTGTGCAATGTATGCCTACCACATACATAGACTATCATCTTATGGTATGAAATTTAAAAATGTGATTTAAAGAAGATACTTTATTTGATGTTGACGTGAAAGAATAATAACTTGCCAATAACGATGTTTCTTTCCTGATATATCTTTAAATACGCATTTATTCATCATTATTGTTATCTACGCGTTATAATACGCAATTACCTCACAGTGAGTGATATTATCCTGATTAAGATATTTGTTTGTAACAGAGAAGAAAATATAATAAAAATTATCAACCAAAGACATTGATCATAGTAAGTCCTAATAAGTCAGACGAGCGCTCGTATTATGAGGTGTGAGAATAAATAGAGACTCTTTTAATCATAAAAAGGGATGAGCTGAGAGCTAAAATAGCAGAATATAAAGTACTTGCTTCTTATATGGAGGTGGGATAAAGTAATCCTTGTATAATAACATTCGCCTCATATACCAAGTTGTCCTGCATTTAAAACGTTCACCATTAAATTTTAACTTCCGTGTTACCCCCCATGATGAACGACAGGTTCAAGGAAGAAGAATTTAAACTGAACTTACCAAGGGAATGGTATGCAAAGAAAAGCTCGTTTGAAAATAACCAGCTGGTGAAGAGGAATAAGCCAAATTATACGCCAAGTTCTTCTAAGGATGAAGTGTTGACAACAACTAGAGATACACGGATCCCCCTTTTGGTATCATCATATGCACTCATGTCAGTTTAACTTGCTGTTGATTGTCATTCTCTCGTTCACAGTCATAAAAACGTTTCTGGTGTTAAAAAACGATATCAGAATAAGAATAGACGATGAATTTGCCAATCTGCAGTACTTAATTGAAGATAGCAGATATAAATACGAGATTAACAGGTGTGGATGTACGGATATACCTGCAATGAGGAGGGACTGCATGATTTGGAAGAGTAATATGTCTAAATCTAGACGTGATATTGAAGTAATGAAAATTGTGATGGATTGTTTTGGTGATATTGTTGATAGATTTTTAGAGCGTATTTCTTGGAAATTTTTCATCTTTAGTGCTTGTCTGACCGTCATATATTTAATCATATACAGAAACAATTGGCGATAAGTGAGTTGCTAACAAAACGGTAACTAAGTGTTCATCTACAGATTAACTAAGGTACGGTTGATGGTTGTTGATTAATTATAGTTAAAATATAGTAAAAATTACAAATATTATTCAAGTTGAAATGATATGGTTTAATATTAAAATTACATGCTATATTAACAACGTTATCAATATTTATTTGCTATTACACGTCTATATACATTGGAAATGAATAAAAATGTATTCTACGATAAGTACAAACATTTAATTAAGATTGGAGATCTTGATCAAAAAAGTATTTTTTATGGGAACCTTTATATTTAATCGGAAGAGTAAAACAACAATTTCGTCTCTATTTAAAGGCCTTATAAATGCATTGTTGTAAAAATGCTTGAGCTGAGAAGCTTTTTTAATGAGTATTGCTAATATAATGTCGTGAACAAAATCTTCATTATAAGTCAAAAACACATAGTTTGTGATGCTAGTTGTGTGTTTTATAGCATAAGTATACTAAATATCATTTATTTACGGGTATTTTGTCCAATGTTAGTGTAGGAAAACCTATGCATGTCTTATCATACCATGTCTTTCTACCAGCAAAAGTGTTCATTGTAATCCTTTGAATTGTAGAGCAAGTAATTAAATCGTTAATATATCCTATACTTTAGTTAATCTTCTGTATTATTTTATTCTTCTAATTTATCTTCATATCGTATTAAAGCTTTGCTTATACTTTTTATTAGAAGAATGCTAAACGTGTTCAGACCAATCGTATCTACCACGATAAATCATAGGTATAGCCTAAACAAAAGCTTAGATACGTTCAAAAAAATGTGAGAGTTATAAGATGTGAACATGATAAATAAAAACCTTTTTAAAAAGTACATCCGTGTAACATGCGTACAAACAGTATTAAAACCAACATAATATCAAATATCGAAAACTTATTTTTATTTTCAGTTAGACCTAAAATTGAGGTGTACCATG